ATCCCACCCCACACACACACAGACACCACTTTGAAGATGGTGATTACACCCTTGACTCAAACACCACATTAAGCAGGAATTTGTCTAATAAACTTATTTATTCATGTTTAACCCCGCCCACACTTCTCTTCTCTGCAGACCGAACAGACCAGCTGTAAACACGTTGTTGTTGTTGTTGTTGTTGTTGTTGTTGTTGTTGTTGTTGTTGTTGTTGTTGTTGTTGTTGTTGTTGTTTAGTTAAATTCTGCAGCGCTCGGTGTTAACCTCTGCTTTCTGTAGTCGTTAATCTGATGTGTCTCAATCCCACAGATTGACTTCAGGTTTTATGACGTCCTGATTATAAAAGAAAAGTTTTCATGTGTTTTATTTTGGTAACTGGTGGATTTGTGTCTCTCTCGGCTGGCCGTACTGCAGTGGTCTCAGTCCGTCACAGAGACCCTGCAGACTGGATCAGAGTTCTGGATCAGCATCCTCATGAGTTCTGCTTTAGGAGCTTCACTCGGGTTCTTCACCGGCTTTTATTTTGTAGGCGGTTTCCGGAAGTTGCTGTCGCGAAGTGTCGCGCCGCGTCTTGTCGAACAGAAACGAAGATGGACGTAAAGGAGAGGCAGCTGCGACCATCACTGAGCGGTTCTGGACCATGATTGTTCTGGACCCCCGCGGGACAAAGCAGCTCAGACAAACAGGTACGGTTCTCCCCACCTTCACCTGACCCGGTTCCGAGTCCAGACTAGCAGCTGCGCTACACACTGACCGTGAGAAGGACCGGGTTGAACGGATGCCACGGTGCTTCTATTATCGGACACGCTCCGGGTCGGTTCTGGGTTTCTGGAGGTTCTGACGGTTCTGGAGGTTCTGACGGTTCTGGAGGTTCTGACGGTTCTGGAGCCGCAGCGGGGATGAGAAAACAAAACCAGCAGAGTCCGGTTAGGTCGGTCCGGTTCTGTGGAGCCCGGAGGAGCCGCCTGATGTTGTGTTTCTGTTAAATGTCAGAAACAATCTTTAGTTTTTAATGAATTTAAAATAAAAAGTTTAAAGTTTTAAATAAAATTTAAACTAAAAACAGAAACTGTCTGTCCGGAAATGGAACCACTGGATCCGGGGATCCGCTGCGTCTCTGCGGTTCTGCTGCAGCTGCCGTGGTTCGGGCTCCGGGATCCCGCCTCAGACCGGAGACCCAGACCCGGTTCTGACCCGACTGGGTTCATCCCTCTGAGTCTGAAGCAGCAGTTAAAGCCTGACAGGCTCCGGGGACGAGCTGCTGAGAGGCGGGGGAGGCGTGTCCGATAATGGAACCAGCGCTGGGAGGTCCAGCAGCTGTTGAGGCCTGTTTGTAGAACCCAGAACCCCTGAGGGGTCCAGATCAGACCTGCAGAACCCAGAACCCCTGAGGGCTCCAGATCAGACCTGTAGAACCCAGAACCCCTGAGGGGTCCAGATCAGACCTGCAGAACCCAGAACCCCTGAGGGGTCCAGATCAGACCTGCAGAACCCCTGAGGGGTCCAGATCAGACCTGCAGAACCCAGAACCCCTGAGGGGTCCAGATCAGACCTGCAGAACCCCTGAGGGGTCCAGATCAGACCTGCAGAACCCAGAACCCCTGAGAGGTCCAGATCAGACCTGCAGAACCCAGAACCCCTGAGGGGTCCAGATCAGACCTGCAGAACCCGTGAGAGGTCCAGATCAGACCTGTAGAACCCAGAACCCCTGAGAGGTCCAGATCAGACCTGCAGAACCCAGAACCCCTGAGAGGTCCAGATCCCTGCAGGTCTGGGTCTGGGCCTCTTTAGAACCTGAGAAGCTGTTTGTGTGGACAAGCCGGTTCTGGTTCTGGTTCTGCTCGGCTGCAGGGAGCTCTGTGATTGGCTCAGGTGAGTGTGACACCTGAGCTCTTCAGGACCTGCAGAGACACGTTCCCACCTGCAGGTCCTCTGGTTCTGGTCCACAGGTAAACCCAGGTTCTGGACTGTGTTACCCAGCATGCACCGGGTCAGCAGACACACAAACAGAAGTGTGTGTGTGTGTGTGTGTGTGTGTGTGTGTGTGTGTGTGTGTGTGTGTGTGTGTGTGTGTGTGTGTGTGTGTTACATGTGATGACATCATCAGTGAAGCAGCAGTTCTTAAAGTTTGATTGTGAAACAGGAAGTTTGAGGTTTTTAAAAAAGTTTCATAAATTAAATAAAAAATGAACTGTTGTTGTTGTTGTTGTTGTTGTTGTTGTTGTGTTGGAACATCAGAGATGTTTACAAACTTCAGCCTCCTCTGAGGCTGAAGTATCTGACCTTTGACCTGTTTCATCATGAGATGTTCTGCAGAATATCTGGTTTGTTTGTTTGTTTGTTTGTTTGTTTGTTTGTTTGTTTGTTTGTCCCTTCAGGCATGTTGGGTTCTGTCTGCAGCAGATTCTGACTCAGTTCTCCTGCTGGTTTCACTCGTTCTGTTCGGTCAGAGCCTGGAACAACACAAACAAACAAACAAACATTGTGTTGTAAACAAACAAACATTGTGTTGTAGACAAACAAACATTGTGTTGTTGATAAACAAACATTGTGCTGTAAACAAACAAACGTTGTGTTGTTGATAAACAAACATTGTGCTGTAAACAAACAAACATTGTGTTGTTGATAAATAAACATTGTGTTGTAAACAAAACAAACATTATGTTGTTGATAAACAAACTTTGTGTTGTAGACAAACAAACATTGTGTTGTTGGTAAACAAACAAACAAACATTGTGTTGTTGGTAAACAAACATTGTGTGTTGGTAAACAAACCTTGTGTTGTTGGTAAACAAACCTTGTGTTGTTGGTAAACAAACATTGTGTTGTTGGTAAACAAACATTGTGTTGTTGGTAAACAAACATTGTGTTGTTGATAAACATTGTGTTGTTGGTTAACAAACATTGTGTTGTTGGTAAACAAACAGTAGTGGCTTGTGAGCGTTAATATTGATGCAAACATTCATCTGATGAATCAACATCAACACAAATGTTAGAATTTACTGTGAAAAAGATAAACGTTATTTATTTATTCAGTCATTATTAGTTGTTGTTGTTGTTGTTGTAGTTGTTGTAGTTGTTGTTGTTGTTGTTGTAGTTGTTGTA